GTTTTAAGTGGCAGAAGTTCTTCTTTTCGAAAATTCAACTGTCCGTTTTCGGAAACTTTGTTCAGTGTTCGCTGACATTATAGGCTGCATCCAGAAAAAGCCGTACTGTTTTCCCATAGCGTCAATTGCGATACTAAATGCCTTAAACTTGCCATCCTTTTCCAGCTAGTAGACGGAAAAATTTGGACCTCGTTTCTTGATGTCAAAAAATTCACTTTCTAAATAGAACCTACACTTCTGCTTCCAGTTTAAAAAAAATTAAATGGCGGTATGTGGAGTCAAAAGTGGTGTGCAAAAGGTGGTATTAGGAGCCAATGGTGGTAAAAAGATGGTAAAAAAAAGTCTAGCACATGTGAATGCGCTCCCGAAGATACTAGCTCTGTCCTCGTACCTAAAATCCACATTAAATCCCCAAAACCTAAAAGTCCACACTAAACCGGTACCTAAAATCCACATTAAATCCCGGTACCTAAGTCCACACCTAAACCGGTACCAAAAATCCACAATAAGTCCCGGTACCTAAAGTCCACACCTATAATCGGTACCTAAAATCCACATTAAATTCCCGGTACCTAAAATCCACAGTAAATCCCCGGTACCTAAAGTCCACCCTAAACCGGTACCTAAAATCCACAATAAATCCCCGGTACCTAAAGTCCACACCTATAATCTGACCTAAAATCCACACCTGAATCCATACCTAGAATCCACATCATTAAGGAAAGCGCGTTGGCTTTTTTTTTATTGGCTTTTTCTTTTACACTGTCATGGCCCTTGTTTGAGCAAGACAGGTTCCTTGTACAGGCATCGCTCAGGACTGCCACACAAAGAAATTCGAAAACGCGGATCACTTGGTGAAATGTCAACGATTCTAAAAAGAACATTTTTCACAACACGGCATAGGAATTATGTATTCATTCCATTAGTATCAGGCGTGGATAAGAGGCAAGTACTCTTCCTGTCAAGATAAGGGCGTTCAGAAATACCGTGACGCAGTTGAGCGATCGCCGGTGTCATTGCTGTGCTGACCGTACAGGGTTTAAACGGTTTTCAAACCGAATGCTATAGTGCCATATGACTACAACTAAATACAAGGAGGAGGAATAAAAGGCAGGATGAAGTATCGGAATGCAACAGCCTTCAGCCGCTACCTGAAATGTTAAAAATGCCGGTTAACAGTGGCTGGAAAGTTGAAGAGGATTAAACGTCCATTCAAGCTATAAAGGAACGGTGCTGGGTTAGATAAGATGAAAGCGCTTCTGTGTTGTACAATGTAATGTTTATTTTGCACTCGTTAACACAGGCCTGTTTCATGTTTAGAGACTACGCCAGTATTCACTTTCCTCTTCATTTCGCCAGTATTTACTTTCATGTTCCTGCTCAGTGTTAAGGTACTTTCCTGTCAACGCTTTCATGGTATATGCCGGATGTGCAAACTTATGTGCGTCCCAGTGCTTGTTCCCAAACGGTATGTGCTTCTCATCATGCGCTCATCAGTGCTGTGTTTTATGTTTACTTTGTTAAATGAATGCAACTTGAGCAAATAAGAGGCAAAGCTCGCAGTTAGGAACACTGTAAACTGCCCAAGCATGGAAATTGTGCTACAGGCGACAACGTAGATTCCTATAATTCGGTTTTTCCGCATTTCTGGCAATTTTACAATATGAATTCGAAAACCAGAGACACTGTGCAGTATTCTTCGCGCTGATCCACACGACAAAAACTTCTTCAGAACTGATTACTTGATAATCAATGTTCTCGTACAAGTTGGTACACGAAATTTCGTAAAACTTATTAAATATTCTAATGTGGAGAAACACAGAGAATACGTTTCCTGCATCCCATTGCATATCACACTGCAGATCTGTATTACAAAATAATTTACAGGTATCGTTTCACAGCGCTACGCAGAATCAAATAACATATATACGAAAACATTATTCAAACACAATCCAGTGCCCGTTTTTCTTATGAAATCAATACGTAGTAGCCAAGGTCAATTGGGAGATAAATCAACACGGAATTGCTGTTGATTTACACGTCAGGAATGACTCAGCATAGACATACTGTCCATCAGTCCACAACCCATAAGTGCCCAGCCACAAGTGAAATCGGAGCGAAATGAAAATATCATCGCATTACTCGGAAAGCTTTAGGTCAAATGTGCCTGAATATTTTACAGTAATTTTACAGCTGCCCAGTTGCCTCATTGAGCATGAGGAACAATTTCTTTCTCGATGCATAAACAGTTAAATTCTGCGTACTGCAACAACACTGTGCAAATGATGCAATAAGAAATTGATGAAAAATTCATTGATCGCTACGTGGATATGGTTATTACGGAAAATTCATTAAGAATCTCCTTACAAATGCAATTTGACCGCCCTCGTGCAGATCGCTTACCTAATACTGCAAATGCTCCATCACTCAATAATTCTGTATTATCATTCCCGCTGCAATTTAGTACATGCAAGTTAAGTGACCTTGGCTCGCTTAAAACGCAATTTTGTGGCTTAAGTATTCTTTTATCTAACAGATCGATCCAGGCTTACTGCATTCAACCATTTAGAATCTTTGCAATATTGTGCCCGGCTGACCTAACGGCTGTAACTTACAAGGGCGCCGTCACCAAACGGCTATAAATTCATCGTTTGCTGCAGGAGGGTAGAGGAACATTCGAGCAGGAATTCTGCTAACAAACTTTCAACTATCGCTGAAAGTAATTAATCGAGTTTAAAACCGCGTGCCGATCGATCCTTACAAAAAACAGTTCAACACGTATTGCTTCCTATTATAAACCGTTTCCGAGAAGACTATGTCATGAATACTGTACTATCAATGCATTGACCAGTATTAAGCAGCAAATATGCTCCTGCAAACCCAGTGCGAATTTACCTTTAAATTTTTCTTTGGCCATTCACTGTTGAACATGACAGATGAAAATAATTTTTTATCCCCATACTATTGTTCCTCTACATATGTTCTTGCAAAAACTTCGAAAGTAAGATTAACTTACTGAAGATTTTCTTATTTCCGTCTATATATTAGCCGTCCGACAGTCATGGTACGTACTTAATTTTCACAAAATCAGGGGGTAATTATTGTGTCCCTCTTGCAGAAGAACGTCCACCGTGCCGAAGGAGCCGTGGTACATCGGATAGGAAAACTGCTTCGTAATTTTTGTACAAACGTATTCCAATTAAAATATGCGCTGTAATCAGATCGGAAATTGAAATAAAATCCGAAATTAGAGATAATTATAAATCTGGTGTATCAGCGACAAATCGGATCAGAAAACTGATTCGTAATTCCGTGAAAATCCCGTTGTAGGCACAGAATACAGATAATAACTGAAGCCTCCGTATGTACAACGTTCAGGGAATTTAGTATGCATTACGTCAGGCCTTCTTGAACAATGCACAGACAACACAAACCCAATCCGATCTTGGTGCTAATAAGAGTTGGTCAGTGCTACTAACCACTGAGCAGCCTGCAGATGTAAGGGTTACAACGTTGTCCTACTAGTAACGCAGCTTACAAGCTGTTAACGACTGCCATTGTGTAATGAACAGCACTGGTGGTCGCTGTTATCCATTTTTGCGGAGGTCACACAAGTAGCATTATAATTGTGGTCTATTGATCGTATTCGTGGCTCTTCGGAACCTCAATCACAGAACGGGCTCAGAATGGACTATCTGGAATATTTTTGTCGAATCGGTTTTAAGTTCCAGAACGTTTGCCGGAAGTCCGTAGGTAAAATAGCCGTTGGTGTCTCTGGTAAATAATTACGGTCTGTAATTATATTGCCTTGGAAGGAACAATTACAGTATCGTCCGGATCTTGCCGGTACGTTCTGGAATAATTGCATTCAGTGGGTTAATGAGGGGGGATATGAGAACCCATCAGCAGCCTCTGTACTCTGCCATATTAATTTTCACTTCATTACTTTTTTAACCTATGTCAGCGCCAGTTTAGCCGTTACAAACATATCAGGTCTATAATACTATATATGCAATGACCATTTTCTTGATACACCATTCACGCACAGTTGCATCAAGGCATTAATTTTAAGAATGAGGATTCTATGAAGATTTTCTAAATCTCCATATGGATGCAATCCTTATGAATTCCTGATGAATCTCCTTATGGAAAATGCATAATAAATCTCAGTACGGACGTATTTATTGGACGGCCATCATACAATCCCGTGCAGAGCTACCAATGAGCTATCGATCGATTTCATTCTCTCTTCGATCTCGTATGCTCGAATTAAAGTGGCCTTTGCTAATTTAATCCGCATTTATTCGGCTCATTTACCGCATAATACCGCCGTTGGGCCTGCGACATTCTTTCTGGCAGACGAGGTAATTACGTCGAAAGTGGGCAACACCAACAAATGCTTAGCCGGGAGGATTCCCTAACAAAACGGTTTCTAATGCGCTGCGCTATCCCGCTCTCCTTCCGGATAATCTGACTAACCTTGTGCATATATGGTAAATATCGCACCAGACGACAATAAATTCCGCGCATAGGTGCAACGCATTCTTCGTCTTGCTTATTCACAGAGAGGCAGTGAATTATTGAACAAAGCCCGCCAACGCCGTCATACGACGCCGTGCGGCGGGGTTTCTTTCAGCGCCCTTAATAACCTTACCATGCACGCAATTTTGTTATAATTTGAGCTTCATTAAAGTCCATCAATGTGTGGATAGTTGCCGGTTTGTTGCCAACTTGCCATATGGACATCAGTGTTGGAAAATAGAACAATCTGTTGCTTATTACAGTATATTTTTCCCGTGCAGAGGGTACAGTTAACGATTTTAAAAACTGGTGTTTCGTTTTAACGGATATTGCGCAAACAAGCGTCCCCGTTCGAACCAGTACGAGCGATTTATGCGCGCTGTTTATGGATTTTGTTGTTAACCTTTGGAACCGTGAACTGGCCTTTTTCCAGTCTACTAATCTTACACTGTAGGTAGTTTTTCGAGCCAGTGTAAAAAATGTCCCTAAATGCTACATTTTCTCCGACGAATTCCACACCGCCCAACACAACCTGGGATTTCTCTCCCATCTACAGTTTATGCACCATCTTCCTCACTGTCATCGGCAACGGTTTCATTCTCTTCCTGTACATCCGCTCCAGCAAACTGCACGGTCCCTTCGCCGTCTACGTCATCAACCTTTTAATCGCTAATATGTTATGCAGCCTCATCCAGACCCCGCTGGATCTCTACGTCCGGTTGATCCGCCACCACTCCTTCCCGGCGCTGTTCTGCTCCTTCCACGTCTACTTCAATTATGCCCTGACCACCACCATCCCCGTGGCGCACGTCCTTATCACCCTTAACCGGGTGTGGGCCATCGCTGCACCTTTATCCTACCGGCGGCATCACTCATATAAAATGGCAGCCGGGATTTGCGTTGGGATGTGGGTTTTCCTCAACGCCTACATTGTCCCGTGTGTCGTCATTGATGGTGTGTATTACCGGACGGTCTTTGATAATGTCCACTGCACGGCCAATCAGGATTGGTCATACTGGGTATGTACAAAACGTGATGTTTCATAACCTGTCACGCTAGTACGCTATTTGAAAATATCTCGTACGTGCTGACATCAAAGAGCGTATCAGTTTATTTGCGCTTGTTAATTGAAAGATTTGGCAAAGGCAAACTACGGTGGCTAAACGCACAAGCTCTTTTTGATTCCCCAAAAAGACCGATTAAGTTGTATATTTGCAAGGATGTGCTGCAAAATGACTAACCCTGATACAAATTCAATTCAACCTGTTTCAACATTTGTTTTGAATTCCAAATTCATATAATTTTTCCAGATCAAATCCACATTCATCTGATTTGCTGAAAATTAAATTTTCGTTGCATATACGTGCAAGCAATTTTAATTAATTTGTGACTTTATATGGAGCCAATGCAACTAAAACATAAGAGTAATTTTCAAAGCAGTGGTGTCCATTTAAATTAGCATTCGTTGAAAGCTGCTTTTGGAATTAATTTTCTGCATTCCTGGTAAAATCCTTTAAATCGTTCAACGCTAGGAAAAAATGAAGTTACCTAGAGCACAGCGAAAGTATCGTGTACTGATTTGCACACGGGATGAATAATATTGCAGGTGCAAGGATGCCGCGCCATGTTCTACATCGGTACCGAAGTCATCATTGTAGCTGTGTATCCATATTTCCTGTACAAGTGGCGCCAACGCTGCCGGATACGGGGAAAGATCACGGTGGTGCAGAGCGCCAGTGAATCGGTGAAAAATGCCGGCGAGGTGTCGGAGCAGACGGCTGCCTCGCGGGCTTCGGCGCGGTCGTTCCTCGTGCTGACATTGTTGACTGCCAATGTGGTAGTATGCTGGACACCGATGAATGTGTATTTTCTATCTAATCGCTACATTGTTAATGGAGAATTCTACAAATTTGCCAAACTGATCAAGCTGACGTTTTCCGCTGTGGATCCGCTCTTGTTCGCTATAGCAATTAAGGATCTCCGAGAGGCATGCCGGGATCTCTTTCAATGTTCTCGTTTGTAGGAAAATCGGGATATGCACAGAAAACCGTATCGCACATTCTGACGGAACTGTTTTCCGCAGAATGCGCACAGCATCAAAATTTTGCAGTATTAATGCTATTTTCATTTACTTTGTATTCGTGCAGTTGGAACTTGGAACTTGAAATACAGTAATTATTCTCATGTGTCTACTGTTACAATTTATTTTGGTTGACCCTGGTCGCTTGTGCGCAAATAAGCGTAACAATGTTTTTTCGAGCCCGATTTTTTCCCGAGTGAAGGCTAAATAAGGTTAATTAACAGATGCCACTACATATTTACGTACAAAATAGTCACCTTTAATAAGTATCATGGTACGGGTACAAACTATGCACCAGAACAAAACGGCATTTACAAAAGAAACACTTCCTCTATGCAATCCTGATCGGGGATCGTACCCATTACACAAATCGCGTTTCCCCGTTGTATTTGCACAGATATTCGCTGTTTAAAAAACTCTTTCGCCCGCTTTTGGCCAGTTGAAGTTGCTATTTATTCCGTTTCCAACCGTTTCCACTAGCTTTTTAGTACCGTCTCCATAAGGTCCGTAAATTTCGATGGCTGCAGCAACGAAATCGTATCTTGCTTGCAACCAAGCGTGTTTCGCGAGTTTCTTCCTTTCAGCGAGTTCGGCTGCTGCGCCGGCGTTCACGGAAGTGCGGTCGATATACGAAACCGCCAGCGTGTCTACGCAGGTGACGTCTATGGCCAGCGGTTTTCCGCGCGCCCACGGTATTAGTGTGATCACGTCCGGCCTTTTCCTATCCTTCACAGACAGACCTTTTGGTTCCATTCTAGAGGGAAAACCGGCTGACTTCAAGCCTCGGGCAAATTCCGCGCTGATTCCGTCATGTCTTGGTAGTCTCCCGGCAGACCGCTTACAGCGAAGTCCATGCCGACCTAACTCGTCGACCAAACCTCCACAAACGCACACATGTGGAGTAACTATTGGTGCACCCAGACGCAACGCAACACTGATGCGGAAGGCATTGTCCTCCAGGAGATTACCAAGGCAGGCTGCGGGTAAAGCATGAATCCACACACCTGATTCCGGAACTGATACCGCCTTCAGGTGCGCGACTTCCTCCGGTAAAGTCCGTAGCGTAGTCAGCCTTGAAAACGCATTCAAGGTCACAGGAGTGTCCCAGGCTTTCTGGACGTGTCGGATGGCTTGCGCCGGAATTTCGTCGGTGTCGGCCTCTAACTTCCAGGCGCGAGTGGCGGTAGTAACATCCGTTGCCGTCAGTTTCGGGCACAGCTTGGAAATCAGTGGATGTAACGAAGAAGCCGATGCCAAGTAGGCAGAAGGAGCTAGCTTCTCAGTTCGCCTGATTCCCAAACCCCCGAAACGAACGGGAAGGGAGGCCTGCAGCCATGTTGGATGATCCATCTTTACATTGGTGATGGTCTCAACTGATTCGCGAAATACCTGGTCCAGTCTGTACAGCTCTTGTGGAAACATCCATGCGGGGGAAGTGCGCAAGATATGTACTATTTTTGGCACCCCAAGGCAGTTCTTCAACAGGAACAGGGCTTGGTGTTTAGGAATAAGCTGCAAACGGCCGCACATAATTCCCAACTGGTTGATTTTTTCATTGATTATCGGGATTACGGCGGCTGGTAGAAGAGGGGATCCCAGCAAATTTAGCTTATCCGCTGTTACTAAAGCTATTCCAGGGAACAAGCTGGTGAACTCGTTAGCGGCCGATGAACGCTGTGCTTCGGTGCCCCCGCACAAAAACAGTTCGCACTTGGCGATGTTGACTTCCAGGCCGACTTTCTTAGCTTCCACTATCAGCAGCAAGTTACGGATCACTTCCGATGGTGTTCCTCCTAATTTCCCATCATCCATGTACCAAGCGTTCAGGTAAGCGTTTAGCTTGTCGATGACGAACTGAAGTACTAAACAAAACAAGGCCGGACCAAGAGGATCCCCTTGCTGCACGCCAGACTGCGAGGCAATTATTGTTTCACCTAAGAACAGCGAAGAGTATGAACCGTAGCACATTTTCACAAAGGCGTAATTTTCCGGTATGACTTCAGCCGTTATCCGCAGTACTTCCTCGCGTGACACGCAGTCGAAGGCGTTAGTGAAATCGATTTTTAGAAGAGCTTTAACGCCGCCACTATATTCGAGCAGGAAATCTCTAGCTGCGTGGATAATTCCTTCGACTCCTCTCTTTACTCCGGAGCCTAGTTGATGTGGTTGTAGAATCTCCGCTGTGACTGGCCTAATTCGGATATCCACCGCCTTGGCAGCAATACGGCGGTATATATTTCCTACGGCGATCGGGCGCAAGCCACCATCCTTTTTACGCAAGGCAACCAGTCGAGCGCCACACAAGAGTGGGACCACCTCAGGAGGAGCTTTGCCCGCTAAGATAAGGTTGAGCAGGTCCGTCAGAGCGTCGCACAAACTAGATGCGGCGTCATCCATTCTTGCCCCAATCAGGTCCAGCAAATGTTGGGGACGCAGATAATCCAGGCCTCCTGCGCTGCCACGTGGCATCGCCTCTAGGACAGATAAAACCTCAGCGGGGGTAAGAGGGGCGAAACTAGAGGCTGGAGGATCGGGCGGCGGTGTAGGTAACGGGGCAGCTGGGTGTTTAAGCTTCATTGATTCTATTACAATCGGGGTACTGTCAGCTACAGAGTCCGACGAGAGCAGAGTGCGTACCGCTCCACTGACGTTAAAATCATCAATCTGAATACCCACTCGACGGGCGATCTCGTCCTCGGGAGTAGCGCGCCGAGGCTTACCGGGTGCGGCTTTGGTTTCTTCATCGTCAAGTTCGCCGCTCTCAAATTTAGCGATCTGGTCCCGGATGTGCGATGTGATGGAGGTTTTCCGAGACTTTTTACTGGCGCCTGGGAGAGAGAGGATCGCTGAGGGAGCGGAAAGCAGCTTTAGCCACGAAGATGAGTCGTTGGCAGATACAGCGCTCCGCATAAGCTTGGCCAAGGCTATCGCAACGGAGGCACGTGCTGCTTTCGGTATCCGTCGCATAAGTTTTCTCCTAGCCGAAATGAAAGGAGGAGGCAACGCCCCGGTTGCGGTCGGAGGAGAACGGCGCGTTTGGCCCTGGGATTGCGGAGGATCGACGGGGCGCCCGAGTCGTTGTGCTTGGCGCTCGAGACAGTTCCCACTGCCTAAATGACTGCCCTGGCGCTTGCAGATTAACTGACAGTCGGGGCAGGTCCACGTCATCGCAGCTATGGACAGAAATCTCACGGCAGAATGGGGAGTACGGAAGCCAGAGGAAAGAAACTACAGAGTACGGCACGGTGGGGGCCTGATAACTACGGGACAAGCTGCCACGACAGCCTCCGAAGGGATTCCGAAGAAATCCTTCGGACTAGGTCTCGTAGACACCCATCGTACACGGATGAGGGAAATTAATCATCCGAGGGCAATAGATGAACCCAGCATAGTCAAATCAAATCCGTTATATAACTTTTTTATAGATCACGATTTTCGCACCAAAAAAATTTTTTTTTTTTTGTACGTACATGTTCACAACGCTCAATTTAAAACAGCACAGATGTCAACGTTGTGGCACGTATTACGCAAACATGCTTATGCTTTTTTATTCGAACCCGTTGTTCGGTGTAATAAAACAATTATACTGATTTATCCATCTTCGAAGCCTTCTCATCACACAAACTGATAGTGAATCATAAATTTTTATTAAGTAATACATTCTTGAGCCGAAAATCAGATGGCAGTAATCGTTTTAGTGCGTTAGCGCTTTGTACGGCTTTCAGCGTCAATATGCTTAAAGAACTAGGAGCAACTCGTAACTGTGGAAAGAAGTCTTAAAAGTACTTCAGTATGATTTTTCACGAAATGAAAGGTAAAATCCAATTCATTGGTAGTGAGGCATTGTACAATACCGAATGTAAACCAAGCGGGCAAGTAATCGAAACACGGTAAAAGTAATATCTGAACAGAAATACAGCGGAAATCATACACAGGAGTGTCTAATTAAGCAGTGCCAATAACATCAGTTTTGATGCTGTTCTGGTGCATATACAGATAACCGCAAATGAACACCGACACCGATATGCTAGTGGCAGTGCTTATGGGCACTTGAGGTGCCGGTGCGGCCAACCCTGGACTAGCGGGTGTATTTGGAGCCGGTGCAGCCAATCCTGGAGCGGGTGTATTTGGAGCCGGTGCAGCCAGTCCTGGAGCGGGTGTATTTGGAGCCGGTGCAGCCAGTCCTGGAGCGGGTGTATTTGGAGCCGGTGCAGCCAGCCCTGGAGCGGGTGTATTTGGAGCCGGTGCAGCCAGTCCTGGAGCGGGTGTATTTGGAGCCGGTGCAGCCAGTCCTGGAGCGGGTGTATTTGGAGCCGGTGCAGCCAGTCCTGCAGCGGGTGTATTTGGAGCCGGTGCAGCCAATCCTGGAGCGGGTGTATTTGGAGCCGGTGCAGCCAATCCTGGAGCGGGTGTATTTGGAGCCGGTGCAGCCAGACCTGGAGCGGGTGTATTTGGAGCCGATGCAGCCGGTCCTAGAGCGGGTGTATTTGGAGCCGGTGCAGCCAGTCCTGGAGCGGGTGTATTTGGAGCCGGTGCAGCCAGTCCTGGAGCGGGTGTATTTGAAGCCGGTGCAGCCAGTCCTGGAGCGGGTGTATTTGGAGCCGGTGCAGCCAATCCTGGAGCGGGTGTATTTGGAGCCGGTGCAGCCAATCCAGGAGCGGGTGTATTTGGAGCCGGTGCAGCCAGTCCTGGAGCGGGTGTATTTGGAGCCGATGCAGCCGGTCCTAGAGCGGGTGTATTTGGAACCGGTGCAGCCAATCCTCGAGCGGGTGCATTTGGAGCCGGTGCAGCCAGTCCTGGAGCGGGTGTATTTGGAGCCGGTGCAGCCAGTCCTGGAGCGGGTGTATTTGGAGCCGGTGCAGCCAATCCTGGAGCGGGTGTATTTGGATCCGGTGCAGCCAGTCCTGGAGCGGGTGTATTTGGAGCCGGTGCAGCCAATCCAG